GACACGCGATGAATCCCTGAAGATGCTTTGAGATTCCGCGGGTGTAAGGAAACGACCTTTTGATGTGATCCCATACTTTGGATGTGGGCAAGAGAGCATATAAACTCTTAAGGATGAACGGTGAATATCAGCAATTACCGAGTAATTGAAAAAGGGGATAGAGCCACGGGTGTTGAACATTTCAAAAGCGCCATCGTTCCTTTCATCTCGGTGACCACGTGAGCTGGTCACGTGCCCAGCCTATAGACACGCAGCATATCGGAGATTCGTTGTTTGAAAATTCGATAAACCTGATTTATCGTAACTGTTCGATGAAAGTTAGAAATGTTAACTTCTGTGTCGGAGTGAATTATCGATGAAAATGCATTGATATCTATCGTACGCTCTGCCTGGGCTTCAATAGGCTAACCAGATTCAGAATCTGACAAAGTGAAAAGTGTATCACAAAGATCATTTGTACTGCTGCCTTGGTAGTTCGATAGACGAAAAAAAAAATCCCGATTTCGAACATTGGTAGGTATAATTTATTTAGCATGTGTTTCTTTCATTTGTACTGATATTAATATATACTGTTAGAATGTTCGTTTTCCTACCATGGTCAATTTGTACGAAGATCACTTCTAGTTCTTGAGCCTGCCGAACATTCGGGAAATGCCTGAAAAACATTCGGAAGCGTTCGGGTGCCGACAATAGATTTACAGCAGAGTCGTGTCGTAGTGAGCATAGTGGTTTCGTTCGAACGGCGGATCGTAACAGAATATGCAATCTCGTCCAGAAATTGTAAATTGCGGTATAAGCTACAGTTCGGTACTGAATGTTGAACAAACACCAAGTGCCTGAAGAGGCATCTGATCGCCCCCTTATTATACGGGTGTGTTCGAAAATGGAGAGTAGCCGCTATATATATATATATATATATATATATAGTAAAACTCCCAGAACAATTCTGTGGATAAAACCAATTGGCATTATAAGAATGACAATAGTAAAAAAAATTAGTCTTAATTTTTCTTATCCACATTATTCTGGAAATTTTATATTGTCGTCATGGAAAATCAATATATAAAGGAATTTAACAGTAGCCAGAAGTGGCTTACGCAAAAGGATCTACCTCTTTTTAAATTTTGGATTTAATGTAACAAAAACACTTCGCTTTCAACTTTACCTTGATAAAGTCGGATATCTGTCTATATTTCGGAGATGAGATAATATTTACACTATTTAAATTATTCGGACTATTGCCCTCATCTTTGTCATCTTTGTAGACATTTTTATTTTTATTTTATTTATTTTTGATAAATATGGCAACAAACATGTAGACAATAGTCCGAATAATGTAAGTATATATATATATATATATATATATATATATATATATATGTGTGTGTGTGTGTGTGTGTGTGTGTGTGTGTGTGTGTGTGTAAATGACAATAGGAAAACTGTAGTAGTTGCCGGCGCGTTTCGTCCAATGTGAACTTTCTCAAAGCAAAAAGCGAAATGAATTTATTTAAACAAAGTAACTAATAATAACAAAATACATAATGTCCTTAGCAACTGAAAGAATTTAGAGAACGCTATTTTCATACTGTTAACTGAAAATTACGTCAATTACTGTCACGTGTAGAGATATTGTTATTATTGGTGTGTTGACTGGTTCACCATTTTCTTTTGATTTCACGATATTATTGTGTACTTTTGGTAGGTGTGATTTCTATTGCTTGGTATGTTATTTCTATACACACACGCACTCACACACTCGCCCATACACTCACACACAATTTTGTTTATCAGCATAAACGGAAAAGAAATATATATTCTTTCATTTTATCATTACACAATTGTGTATTTTTTATCTTGTTCAGTTGGTAGTAAAATCGATCTCCCGGGTATAATATCAATCAGTAGTAAACTTTTCCAATATTTCAGAACTGCGACCGTCAAATCTCTGTTGCTCGACCATCGATCTTTGTTTTACTTTACTCCAGATTTTACGTCTTTTCATTGTCGTATCCTCAATCAAAATGACATAATCATTTTCTTTTCTCTCACGCAACCCGAAAGGACTTAAATTCTTATGGCAAAGGCCACTGTCCTTTGATAGCAAGCAAGACTTGACAGGAAAAACAAAACAAAAAAATTGTCTGGCATTTTTACTCAGATTGAAAATTCTTTTAGACCAAATAGACCAAATAGAATAAGTACAGGTCGTAATAAAGGTAATTGTCTCTTTCAAGGTGGAACATCAATGTAATTATTCAATACTGATCATAATAGAAAGGACATCAAATGATTTCTTTGTCTTTACTGTAGAAATCTAACGTGATTTCTTTGTCTTTACTGTAGAAATCTAACGTGAGAAATTTGGAGATTAATTTTGTTCATCCTACAATCTTTTGAAGCTATAATTCCACTCTTAGACTTTCAAAGAATTTAATCCGTATGAAGAAATTAAACCTCTTACTCAAGAAATTTGAACACCAGCTCATTGCACAGAGAATGATGGACATGCTAAAGCTGTTTGGCATAGTTACCCGCAATGGATATATATATATATATATATATATATATATATATATATATATATATATATATATATATATATATATATATATATATATATATATATATGGCTATATGCTACATACTTTAATTTATTCAAGCATTTGTTCTTATCATGATTAATATCTATTATATTACTGACATGGCATTTTGGCCAAGTAACATTTAAAGTCTACAGGTGTCTATTATTAGGTTGATAGAGGTTATTTGTTTATTATTTCGTCAATTTGCCCCTGTGTTGCCAGTAAACATTTCTTCCTGCTGAACCAGTTTATATTATTTGTCTTGCTAATCAAGAGATTGTACTTACTTCGATTAAGCTGAAACAAACTATGTAGAACCAAATCATATACGCGCAAGGCCTTCTTCTAAAATGATATGAGCTGTATTTTAGATATAATTTTGTATCAGCTAAGAAGGAACTTCTGAAGTTGATAAGAGTGAGCTCAGCTGAAACGTTCTCTCTATAATTAGATCTGTGAGAATGAAGTTCGAATAAATCAATGTGTATTGACAATTTCTCAGGTTAAAATGTAATGGAAAATTTACAAAATGCACGACGAACACGCCATGAGCACCAAATGACTACGCCATCTGACAGTGAAGACGAAGACTCCAAAATTAAACTTCTGATGGCTTGCGGGACGGTTGTTGGATGTACATGTGTTTCTGTCATCTAGCAATAATAAGATCAATAGGCGCCTTCGGATGGCCAGAGCATACGTTTTGTCTATAATATCATTGTAATAATAAAGAGATTCGAGAAATTAAAGTGTCGTGACAATTTCTCATTTAAAAATGACAACCACAAATTGTTCGGGAATAATATTTTAAAGTGTTCTTTTCTCGTATCAATGAAATAAGAGTTATGTATACAAGTCCCAGGTGAATACTCAATTTTTTCATTAGCTGACCATTTATTTGAAAAGCCGCTTGAGAACAATTTAACACGACACTTGTGAACTTTCAATTTATATATACAGCTGCTATTGCTTCGTTACAAAGTAATATAAATTTGTGCATCTGATGAATGGTTTAGACTGGCCGTTGGATAGATTTATTTGCAAAAACACTAATTTCCCTCGTCTAAAGTTGTTGGATATCTGCAAGCCTATTCTTTACTTAAAAAATATATTAAGGATAAAACAACGCATTGCAGACAAGGAAAAATATCTTTACAAGATTTAACAATGATGTCGTAATCACATCTACATCTAATCTTTAGTAAGACTGACTATGAGGTAAGATATGCCTTTTTTCCGAAGGTGAGTCATTATATATATAGTCTGATAAATTTAATATAGCCTCTTCCTAACATATGCAACGTCGCAAGGCTATTCTGTCGCTATTTCCATAGCAAATGTTCAGATGAGCTTCATTCTTTTATTTCACAAGTTTAGGACGTGCAACTTCCAAAGAGTCGAATCACATCGACATTCAGAATATTCCAAATGGAACGAAAAATACAACACGAATATCTTTTTCATAAGAGCTTAAACTTTATAGGACACTAATCTTGACTACTTCAAATCAAGTGTTACTTATTATTCATCTTCCTATCCTTATAATATTCAGTTCCTACTAATCACTACGTTATATTATACCTCAGACACTATAAGCATTTTAATAGTAATTCTTTAAGAGAATAGCTCTCGAAACACGTATTGTGTAAAAATTAGTATAAAAATAAATATATTTATATTTTACTTATAATATTATATGCGAGGCCATATTGTATACGAATGAATACAAAAAAAGAATCAATTAATATATATATTTATATGTATGGTGTACTCTCCTTTTGTATACGATGTATGAGCGTCAGTAACTCAGTTCCTAGGAACCGACAGACTCCAGCACATATAATTAGATTAAGTGGGAAGGCTTTGTACTTTGAAGGGCTGAATACAATGTCACAAGGTCCCCAAAGAACCTTCCGCAGATTTTGAATTCAGAGTTGTCCTTCTCCTAGAATAGTTGCCGTCCAAGCCTATAGAACCCAGTCTTTTCTCCTAATTACCCATAGCTGGAGGAGAAGAATAAGATTCATATCTTTCACCTTTTATATATATATATATATATATATATATATATATATATATATATATATATATATATATATATATATATATATCCCCACATGTGACGACAACGTGACCATGCTAAACGGAAAGCTGATCATTTTAAAAATTTTCAGTTATCTGTTTTGGATAAGACTTGTTTTTTATGTCCATCGTCTTTGTCAAATTGAACTGAGTTGTACTTTAATGTATATTGTCCTGAAGAAGGTTTATTAAACCGAAACGTCAGACGTCGACATTTCATTCATTTTAAACAACATATTTGCATTTAAGGATTTTTGTTTGTTTTTTTTTTCATATATATATTATATATATATATATATATATATATATATATATATATATATATATATATATATATATATATATATATATATATATATATATATATATATATATATATATATACATATATATATATATATATATATATATATATATATATATATATATATATATATATATATATATATATATATATATATATATATATATATATATATATATATATATGTATGTATGTCCAGGACAATTCTCTTC